AAGAGAAAGAGGAAGGAAAGAAAAGAGGGAAAACAGAAAGATGAAAAGAGGAAGAAATGAAAAGAAGGGAAGGAAGAAAGAGGAAGAAAGGAAGGAAAAGCAGAGGGAGAGGATGAAGGAAGAGGAGGCGGAGGAAGGAAAAGAGGAGGAGGGGAAAAGGAGAACGGGGGAAGAAAAAGAGGAGGAGGAGGAGGAAGAGAGGGTCAGTGACTCACGAGTCCCACTTCTCCCCCACCATAAAAACCGAACTCAGGAGTCTGTGGGTGTCTGCACGCTCCGAAAGGAAAAGTGCTACAGCCTCAGCAAGTGTGAAGCAGCATCTGTTCACATGGGAAGAAGCGATGCTTCACATCCCTATGGCTGCAAAGGGATTTGATCACAGCCTTGTAAATAGCCACTAGCCCACAAACTTTGCATAGGAACAACTGCTTATTACGTAAGGATAGGAAACCAGCCTAACCAAGTCATTAGCCTTGGGGCCAAGTGTACATTTTTCTACCCCTCCAGTTATGGGGATTTATCGGCTGATGTTCGTTTGCGTCATGTAGCTTCCAATCCCGAGTCAATCTTTTTTTTTTTTTTTTAATGGAATAGCACAAAAACTTCAGTAAAATAGCTTCTGAATTGGGACTAGGAGGCCCCTAAGTATATTCCTACAGGCAGTCCTCAGCTTGCAACTATGGCGGCCAAAGTTACAAAGTTAAGGGAATTACTTGCAGTTGATCAGTTAGCAACTTGGTTGTTAAGTAAATCTGTTTTTTCCCCCCATTGACTTCTGACCTTGTCAGAAGGTCACCAAAATTGATCCCACGACCTTGGGACACAACAGCGGTCATAAATATGAACCAGTTGCCAATCATCTGAATTTTGACCACATGATCGTGGGGATGCTGTTAAGGTCGTAACTGTGAAAAACCATCATAAGTCACTTTTTTGTAGTGCCATCACTAAATGAACTGTTGTAACTTGAGGACTACCTGCATTCCACCTTTTCAGAAAGGAATCTTTTCCAAGCTATGCAAGAGACTGAATGCAATAACAGATGCAGTTCCCCCTGGCTTTTCAACTTTCAAATAATAAATGGGATGGAAAATTTATAAAGCAAGTCAACAAATTAAACCAGCAACCTAACAAACTAACACTGGTCTATGCTGAAGTGACCCTTGAACTGAAAGTAAACCCCTGCCAAACCTTGCATTGGTTTAGCTCCGTTTCTCATCTATCTTGTTTGAAAGGCCCAGTTTTGTTTAGTTTTTTTTTAAAAAGAGATGAATCATAAACACCTTTTTCAGATAGCGATAATGCTCTCAGTTGCTTGGGAAACGAGCGGAATAAAACGGCCCTTAAAAATTCCAGATTTTCCTACTCCTAAAGTTTTGTTCTCTCTTGCAAAATATATCTATATATATTCCTCAATTTGTTTTCCATTGGAGCACCACAAAACCAGCCAGTATGCAAAGTTTTCCATATTTTGCCAGAAAAGAGCTGGGCGGATTGGCATGTGTACATCTGTGGATGCCTGCATGCGTGCAAGCAGATGCATGTTTCTAAATGTTTCTATTAAAAAGCTGGAGAGAGCCTCACTGGCTGAATTTTGCAGCCTTCCTTTCCCACCATTCCTGTCAGGCTCCCAACCAGGTGCGATAAGCTCTCCTCGCTTTCCAAATTCCTGGAACTTCTCCACCCTTTTCTCCTGCCCGGGGGCTCACCTCAGGGCCCGGCTCAGCTTGTCGTAGTTCATCTGAGGTTTGCATTTCCTCACCCCCCACAGCCGGGCCACTTCGTCGGGGTCCTTGATGACAAACTCGCCGTAATCCCCTTGCCAGGCGATGACGTCATGATATTCTTCCTTGCGCAGCAGTTCCAGGATAAAATGCCAGAGCTGGATCTGACGGGAACCGGGACTCGACTCGGGCTTGTAGGCCCAATCTGGGAAGGCGAACCCTGGCAAGGCGAAAAGGCAGCGTTAGCCAGCTCGGTCTGGGAAGGCGGAGGCGCGTTTCCAGAATAGGACGGCCAAGAATCCCACCACCATAGCCGCCGCCTATTCGCCCCCCTCCCAGCATAAAAGAGTTAGAAGTAAAGTGCTGGCAATTCCCATACTCAGATCCTCTGGCTGCATCTGCTCAGGGCATGTTGGCAGAAGCCCTGGGTGCCTCAAAGCCACCCTCCACCCCCCACTGGGATGCAATGGCTGCTGCAGCGGCATGTGGATTTTAGCCAGCCCCCCCCCGCCACCTCCTCCCCAGTGTGCCAAGGGAGGGAAAACAGGAAACCGGCTGCTGCCGCTGCCACTGTCGCCGCCTCTCCCTCTTCTGCAGCCAGGAGGCTGGGAGGGCAGCCAAGCCGCCTCGCGACTTCCAGGCTGGGCCCTCCAAGCGTGGGAGGGCGAGAACAGCCAGCTCGAAGGGAAGCCTCCCTCCCGTTGGCACCAAGTCCTACCCAGCAGAATCCCACAACTTGCCACCTTCCCAAACCCACCCCGGGCACCCTAAGGGTGCTCCAGGGTGTAATTGGCCAGTGGAAGAGGCGAAAGTCTTGAAAACACACACACACACACACCCTGGCCCCAGGAAAAGAGTCAGCCCCATTACGGCCTGGACAAGCATCAGGCGTGTTTAGAAGTGGGGGACGGAGGGACGGACGGAGCGCCTTTGTGCCATGTTCTCCCCGGGCAGCAGGCTTGCGGGGGGGGGGGAGCAGGAGGGGGAATGGTTCGCAGCTGAGGTCAGCAACTTCGAGACAAGGCTTCCTTTTTTCCCAGCCAACAGCGGAGCACAAACTCTGCAAAGCATTCCTGGCGAGGGGGGGGGGGGGCAGAGAAGCCGCCACTGCCTGCTCCGCCATCAAGATCAAACTTCCCCGGAAAATACCCAGGGCTGTGGAAGATCCCAGATGGTCATCGAAGCCCCCCCCCCCCCACACAAAAAAACCGGGGAAGAAACAAACAGGATGAGCGGGGGGGGGGGGTGCTACATCTTGCAAATGTGTGGCCAGCAGTGCAATGCAGCCCCCCGCCCTCTGAAAAGTTTTCACAAGGCCCCTCCGTCCCGCCCCCCCCAACAGGAAGTCACAAATAAAGACTCTCTCCCCCCAAGATGGGGGCCTCTCCCATTGTTTCATAAACAACTTTTCCAGCACAGCAGAGTCAGAATTGCTGGCTCTCCTCCCTTTGGGAGGCGAGGAGGAAGGGGAAGCTGGCCTTTCTCAGCCATTTGGGGAGGGGGGGGGGTTTCCCCTTCGCAGCTGGCTGGGTCTCAACAGCTCTGGTCGGACCAATCTAACTCAACACAGTGCACCCCCCCCCCCCAAAAAAAGGCGGTCTCTCAGCTCATGGTTGCAGCCATTATATCTTGAGATTTTTGACCCACAGGCCCACTGGCGCTCTAAAATGTTTCTCAACCCTTTTGAAGGTGTGGGAACTTCAACTCCCAGAATTCCCCAGCCAGCACCCCAATATAAAGGGAGTCCTCAACTTACGGCCACAACAGAGCCCCGAAATTTAGGCTGCTCAGCAAAGACAGTCCTCAAGTGAGTTTTGCCCTCCCCCCTACCCCCACCCCCGTTCGATGACCTTTCTCGCCAAAGTCGCTAAGTGAAGCAGCACGGTTGATAAGTTAGCAGCCCGGTTGTTAAGTGAATTGCTCTTCCCCGTTGACTCAGCTTGTCAGAAGGTCTCCAAAGGGGATCACGTGACCCCCGGGACATGCGGCCACCGTCATAAATACGAGTCAGTTGCCAAGCATCTGAATTTTGAATCGTGTAAATAGGGGGGACGCTGCCACGGTCGTCGGTGTGAAAAAGGATCGTGTCAGTTTTTTCAGGGCCCGCTGTAACTCTGAACCGTCACTAAACAAAAAAGTCGAGGACTCTCTGTGCTTCCCTCTGGAAGAATTGCCAGGCAGCCTAATTTTCTACAACACCCCTGTGAAGCCACTTAAGCTGATCAAACTAGAGCAGTGGTGACTAACCTTTTTGTGCCGAAAATTGCGTGCGCACTCGTGTGCGCCAGCACCCAGAAGGCAATGTGTGCGGAGCCCCCTCCTGCGTATGCGCGCACAATCCCGTGCATGCCACGCATCTCTGCGCATGCATGCAAGACCCCCCCGCAAACCCCACATCTCTGCGCATGTGCGTGCATCTCCCATGCCCCCTGTGCCAGACTCCAGACAATCAGCTTTCAGGCGGGCGCGCACATGTGCAATGGAGCTCTTCCGGGCGACTTCTCATGTGCCGGCAGAAGTGGCTCTGTGTGCCATAGGTTCGCCATCATGAACTAGAGCTTCCTTGGGGCACAGCTTTTTGCTTGGTAGATAACAGAGATTATCTGTTATCAGGGGTGGGATTCTACCAGTTCACACCTATTCGCTAGAACCCGGTTGTTAACATCCTAAGCAGTTCGGAGAACCGGTTGTTAGAAGAAATTACTGGCCTAATCCTGTAAGGAAGGCAGGAAGGAAACATTCTGGTGTTGCTTACAGAAACTGCCTCTCCGTTAACCCTTATTACATTCTTGGCAGGACTAAACTTCCTGTCTCAGGAACATCTCTGGAGTTTTTCCCCCTCCTTTGCTGGTACTTTGCTTGTGTGGAGTGACCATTCAAAGTTACAATGGCACTGAAAAAAGTGACTTATGGCCATTTTTCACACTTACGACTGTTGCAGCATCCCTAGAGTCACGAGGCCAGGCGAGGAGATGTGTGCCTCAATGTGATGTTGAGTTGGCCACGCCCAGCCAATAACATGACCACCAAGCCATGTCCACCCAGTCACATGACCACCAAGCCATGCCCACCACCTAAGCCACACCCACAGAACCAGTTGTTAAAATTTTGAATCCCACCCCGGTTATATTTATTTGAGCCCAATAAAATGTAAAATCACACACCTTCTTTTGTTAAACCTGGTCAAGGCTTTAAAGTATTGTGCTTCACAGTCTTCGACATACAACTGTTTTTGTAGCGGCTCTAAAGCAAAACACTGCAGTTGTTAAACGAACCAACGGTTTGCTTTGGCAAAACCACTGTACGATATACAGCCGCAATTGCCACAAGGCAGCTATAAATTTAGTCATGTTGCCAAAGGCAAAGTTTGGTCACTGAACTGCAAAGGAGACCCAACGGTTGGAACTTAAAAAAATTTCGTCTTAAAATCCCCCCCTTTTTCAAGGTTGGTATATAAACCGTACACTGTATACAGGTCGTCCTCGAATTACAACCATTCGTTTAGCGATTAATTCGAAGTAGTAACAGCACTGAAAAAAATTGGCTCGGTGGCCGTTTTTCCATGCTTAATAATAATTATGGTGGGTCAGGCAATCAGAAATTCGGACGCTTGGCCACTAGCTCGTATTTATGACGGTTGCAGTGTCCCAAGGTTACGTGATCCCCTTTTGCGACCTTCTGACAAGCAAAGTCCATGGGGAAGCCAGAATTGCTTTGCAACCACGCTACTAATTTAACAACTGCCGTGATCCACTAAGCAACTGTGGCAAGAACGGTCGTTAACATGGGGGCAAAACTCACCTGAGAAGTGTCTTGCTTTAGCCATGTAAATTTGGGGCTCAACTGTGGTCCATGACTACCTGTACACATTTTCTTCCATTCTCCGTGAATCCTTTAAGCCGGGGGGGTCTCCAACCTTGGCCACTTTAAGACCTGTGGACTGCAGCTCCCAGAATTCCTCAGCCAAACCTTGGCCAGTGTACGGCTTGTGGACTGCAACTCCCAGAATTCCTCAGCCAACCTTGGCCACTTTAATTGCTGGCTGAGGAATTCTGGGAGTTGAAGTTCACAAATCTTAAAAGTGGCCAAGATTGGAGACCCCTGCTTTAAGCATCGCCAGGTACAAGTCACACAAACCCGGGTGTGGTTCTGCTCACCCAGATCGAATAACAGGGCTTCTTCCCACCTGGTGCATCCATCCCTGCCACGGGAGGGGAAACTCTGGCTGAGCATGTGCGGTTGTCTGAACTCGGCCTGCCTGTGGCCCAGGAAAAGATCCAACCCCCAATGCTTTTATTTCTCCTTGGCTGAAATTGCTGAGCCTGTGCCCAATGCCTTCAGGGAGGGTGTCAAGAGCTTGGTGGGGGGAGGGAGGGGGGAGGAGTGTGCGTGGGGGGGGGGGAGCTGTGGTTTCCCATTTCCCAAACCCCAGGCGCTCTGAGCCCATCAATAATTCAGGCCCCTGTAATGGAGGCCAGGGACGCCGGCGCCTGGTTCAAGGGCATCGGCGTAAGACCGAGCCATTAGGACGGTGATGTCATCTCGAGCAAAGGGTGGGAGGGCTTGAGAGCCAAAATCCCCACATACTGCAACCTGGGGGGGCTGGCATACCTTAACTGCATCTCTCACACACACACACACCCATGCCCACCAAGGGCAGAGTTGCACTCGGGCCAAATGGAGCGGTACCCCCACCCTTTCAAATGCAATTCAGCATCCTTCCCTCTTCCTTGCTTCTTGGCAACGCAGGACCTAAAAAGGCCCCCCACTCAATTCTCTCTCTCTCTCTCTCACACACACACACACACACAGCACACCAGTCTCCAAGCAACAGGCAACGGCAGCAACAGCTAAAAATAAACGGAAGGAAGCAAAAAGGAGACAGCACGAACTGGGCAGCACCCCAGGAGTGACAGCCATGAGCACCCCACAAACTGCGCTTGTCTTCCAAACCCCGAAGAGGAGGAGGACGTGCTGGACGTGGGGACAACTGCCTCCTCAGCTCCACAGACTCCCGCAAGGGCTGGCAATGGCGTGGGAAGTTTGATCCCACTCGGAGCCTGGGGGGGGGGGGGAGACATGAGGACACCGAATTTTGCAAGCGCAAAGGCAAACACGTGTGAGTCGGGGCCCACCGAGGCCTCCTCCGGAAGAGGTAATCATGTTGAGAGTTAGGAAGTTTCCTGCCCAATCCATGGGTCTTAAGGCTTCCTTCAGACC